TTAGTTCTGTAGAACACAAATGTATAATAAAGGTCTTCATTCATTCTATTAACACGCAGATAATTTATTTGAAGACTACTAGTATTCAAATCATCGGTAGGCAAATCAGGCAACTGCAATGCGTTTTGCCTACCACTCGTTGACCATCAGGTAGTCTGCATACCTAAACCCACATTTAGGTTCAGGTCTGGATTCAAGTCCAGAGGTCTAAGGTTCAGTTCCGGTATTGTAAGTCCGGACCTAAACCCATGGCATATACAAAATTGCATGTTGGCAACCTTGCAATGTTGTCTGGGTGAAACTTTGGTCTTGAACCTAAACATTATTACAAGTCCGGATCCAAGTCCAGTGAACCGGTATGCAGCCCTACATACTTGTATGACATTCTTATTAGAACAGATGCCATGGTAGTCTACAAACAGTCTACTAAAATAATTTGATGTCAATATGTTAAAAACACCTGTCAGTCTGTATTCTTCATAATAAATGTTGAAGCATTTGGTGGGCAAACAATGTTGTATCGTTTTGCTTCAGAACCTTGCCACAACAAAACAGGACAGTGCTGAGAAGGAGTACTTGGTCCAGCAGCACGTTACGACCGAAGGAAAGCTGTACAACCAGGCGTCACTGGTAAGGACAGCTGCTGTTCCACCAAAGGAATCTGTATCTAAGCTGATTTTGTATGCAAGCAGCAATCTTTTTTTACTTCCAGGTACAGACATATTGTTATAGGTGGGTTATTTGTGTGTTTGTGTGTTTCTCTGGACAGACTACAGGGCTTTGGTGCACCTATTCCCAAAAATGAATTTCTAGCCTAGTTTGACAGCATGTGCGTGGGGAAGGATCCTTACAGAAAACACAAACCTTTTTGTTTAAAGTTAAAACTTTTGATCCAACACGAAAATTCTCTCACCTAGAGCTTTCAACCAGTCACTCTGGTCTTCCTCAGTAGACTGACCCAGTGAAGCTTGTCACGTGGTTTCTTTGAAGTGTGACGTCAACACTGGGTCAAAGGTATCTGGTAGACGATGTCGGCCCCCGTCGCGGTTCAATGTAGGGTGATGGGCCCTGATGTAAATGGCTTCCTTCACCCCTCTCAAGAAATAGTCTTGTTCAGTGTCTAAAATCCTTACAGTGTCAAGTGAGACATGGTGTCCGGGTGACTCTATGTGAATGTGTTGAGACNCCTCTGAACTGGCAGACTAGGCCGTGTATGTTCCTGAAACCTGGCTTTTAGAGACCTCTCCTTTTCACCAATAGAAGTGTGGTGTCATCTACCACATCCCCTGCCAGGGCAAGAATAACAGGGGGCCCTGCCAGGAAACTTATATTGGTGAAACGGAGAGGTCTCTAAAAGCCAGGTTTCAGGAACATACATGGCCTAGTTCTGCCAGTTCAGAGGTGTCTCAACACATTCACATAGAGTCACCCGGACACCATGTCTCACTTGACACTGTAAGGATTTTAGACACTGAACAAGACTATTTCTTGAGAGGGGTGAAGGAAGCCATTTACATCAGGGCCCATCACCCTACATTGAACCGCGACGGGGGCCGACATCGTCTACCAGATACCTTTGACCCAGTGTTGACGTCACACTTCAAAGAAGCCACGTGACAAGCTTCACTGGGTCAGTCTACTGAGGAAGACCAGAGTGACTGGTTGAAAGCTCTAGGTGAGAGAATTTTCGTGTTGGATCAAAAGTTTTAACTTTAAACATGTAACTACCAACACAGATGAACTTTCATGATAATTCACTCACTTGTTGTCCATTCCTAAGTATTTGGAAACCATATGCATTATTACAGATGTAACGACTGACAAAGGCAAAGAAGGTGACAGTTATCAAGTGCCTAAAGCCTTGCAGCTGGCAGAGGAAGGTATGCAGGTGCAGACAGCTGATGCATCAGGTGCTCCAGAGGAAGCCATGGAATATGACTACCCCATCCCTCTGTAAGTTTCTGAATTCATCCATTCATGATTGTCATACCAAGGAGCATGAATTCATCCATTGACAATTACACAAGTATGATGCCTACACATACATGTATGTTAGTCAACTACTGTAACTTGTGTAATTGTGCACTTCAAGTGCCGCTAACTGATCCATTCCAATGGGTCCAGACCTTTTGGCCTAGTGGTTAGCACGCTGGTGTCACAAGCTGGCTGGTTGGCACGGGTTCTATTCCTGGCATCCCGGGAGTCAGGGTTTTTCCTGTATCTACCCGCTCCAACTTGTTTCACCTGACAAATGATATGCAGTATTCTGTATCTTCACCAGAGGGAGCTGTTTTGTTTCTTACCCATCACAGTCAATAGATGATATAATGTACTAGTACTACATGGTAGAATGTTGAAACAGTGGAATTGTTTAGTCAGCATTATAGTTACACAGATACAGATTAGGAGGTCTGATATTTCAGTACAATGTTAATTTTTTTATTGTGCTGTGATTTAACCAGTGTTGTTGTGGATTTTTTCCTATCGTCTGACTCCCCCTTTTGAACACATGTAGCTATGACTTCAGCAAGGAGCCAGTACAAGTGACAGGAGCAACGACAGAGTTTGGAGAATTCTCCTCCAACTTCTTAAAAGGATGTAAATGGTATGTCCCAATAGATATTACAGCATCATCATTTTCCCATTAGTGCCCTTAGTTTAGAAAACTGAAGCATTTGACAATGAAGATTTTGTAAAGATGTACTTTAGTACATGTAGATGAATGATATGAATGAATGAATGAGGCTTTATTAAAAATAACATGTTGTGCGCTTGACATGCCCAGCCCGTGTGAGCTTGTATGATATAATATGATAATACTATATGTATGGCACATAAACAAGAGATAATCAGGGGTACAGAGATAACAAAATCGACCATAAAATGAACACAAAAATGAAATAAGTAAAAGGGATACAATAAAGATGTACAGAGTGATCACTCCCTGAACTCAGATATATATATCAACTCACAAAGGCAAATAAACAGATTCTGTACGTAATTAGCCTGACTAATTGCACTCCTGGCGGCCGGCCGCCCCGAAGTTGGGGTGGGGGTCATTAACCTCCAGCCGAGAGCTTGTGTAACACAGGCTTGTACGTAATAAGCAAAGATTTCACAAAATGAAAACAAGTACATAACAAAAATACAGTTTAACAAAAGAACACAAAGAGGTACAGATTCTGAAGTAACAAAGGATGATGACTAATATAGTTTTATGTGTATATTTTTGTGTGATTTCCGCTGCAGGTCTCCTGATGGCTCGTGTATCTTGACCAACAGTGATGACAACACACTAAGGCTGTTCAACTTGCCGGTAGAGCTGTACCAAGGACAGCACCAGGGGTCAGCAGAACTGGTCAGTTAAACATAATATCATTTCATAAATCAATCTGCACACGGTACACTGGCATCGATTCGTCGAGTGGAAACGACAGTAAGAGGTCATGGGTTCAATTCTTTGCATTCCTGGCTGACTGTTGTGTCCTTGGAAAAGGCACTTTACACAACTGTCTTCACTCTACCCAGGTGTAAAATGGGTACTAGTACCTGACTTCATTTGGGGATGAAGAAGGTGGTGGAAGGAGAGTGATGGGCTTTGCCTTCTAATATTTCATTAACAACCCACTGCCCCAACAGTCTCGAAAAGGCTACATATACAGTTCACATATTAGTTTAGCCTGTTTTATTTATTTACCTTTTAAAATTAGGGCTAAATGTTGCACCGGGGTTGTTTTGAAGTACATTGTAATCCATTTTTTTGTGCAGGGAGGGATGATTTTGTAGTGAAATATCCTGCATTTGCTTGCAAATATTGGCTTGTTGTTTTGTCCCACAGTCTTCAGTTTTACAGATGAGAGAGGGTGAAACCATCTATGACTACTGCTGGTACCCACGGATGATGTCATATCAGCCAGAAACTTGCTGGTCAGTTATTTTGTCCTGCTACATGTATTACAGTAACCATAGTGTTAAGACTTTAGCGTAGTTATGTCCTTGGTGCTGAACTAACAAAATTATCCCTGTCCTTGGTGCTGAACTAACAAAATTATCCCTGTCCTTGGTGCTGAACTAACGAAACTATCCCTGTCCTTGGTAACTACCCCTGTCCTTGGTGCTGAACTAAAAAACTATCCCTGCCCTTAGTAACTATCCCTGTCCTTGGTGCTGAACTAAAAAACTATCCCTGCCCTTAGTAACTATCCCTGTCCTTGGTGCTGAACTAACAAAACTATCCCTGTCCTTGGTGCTGAACTAATAAAACTATCCCTGTCCTTGGTAACTATCCCTGTCCTTGGTGCTGAACTAACGAAACTTGATCTTTCTATGTATGTTCTGTGTATCTAAGGAATTAGATCATTACTTGATAAATTTTACTCACCGGATATAATTAAAATCGTGTCCTCTTTTTTTCTCAATGCAAGAATTGATACATACCTACAATCAGATTGTTGTGCATGCTCAAAAATTTTTTGAGTTTCAAAATTAGACGAACTTGACAGAAAACTGTATTCATAAATTGTGATTTGAGTACTCAAACCAATATACAATGTGTTCATATGCTCTATGACTTTCCCCAGCCTGATCAGTACAAGTAAGGACAACCCTATCCACATGTGGGATGCCTTCACTGGCCAGCTCAGGTGTGCGTACAAGGCCTATGACCATATGGTAAGTTGATTGAAGTCTACTTGTTGTGCATCATTTGCATATTTGTTCATCATTTGCATATTTGTGACTGTATTTGCATATTTGTGACACCTCAAATAACTTACAGGAAACTGATTATTTTAAAACATGAAACCAATTGTATTTCTTCAATCCAACTTGATGGTTTGCATTTGAGTGAATAACAGCGCCACGCAGCAGTTAGCACTGGTACTGCAGAAGAGCTAACATATACATTGCTCCAAGGAGTCCTGTAGAAAAGTCTTTCATGAGCCAATGCAACACGTTCACCAAAAGATAAATGGTAGTTTCAATGCTGAATTCAAAAAGTTACTATTCTTCCACTATCTTTTCTGTTGTATGGTCATAGTAAGGCTATAAAGAAATCCATAGCATACAAAATCAATTCTCTTTTACTTGGGTACATGCATCCTGTTGTATTAAGCATTATTGAAGTACATGTACATTGGAAAATGTGTACCTTTAAGATAAGAGAATTTTGTGAAGAAAAAACTTATCTACTTTATTCTAAATCTATAAGAAACTCGAATTCCAGGTGACTTGATGCCGTGACCTATCTACTGAAAATAGCCTGCACTCAATACAAGCAATTTTTTCTGTATAATAACAGTCTGGACTTATAGTGTAGTCCCATCACCCGCTTCAATGACTCCTTTCAATCTGCTAACTTTTTAAAGATACACTCTGTATGTGTGTCTTGTTTGTGAGAAAGGCAACTTTGTGTCTTATCTTGTTTGAGAAGATTGTGCTATGATGGCCTCAATGTGTTTTTGTAAAGCTTTTGTGTTAATTGTCCTCATCCGGAATAACCATATATCATCTGCGCCTCAAATCTAAATGCATCTTTTGTAGCCATTTTTATAATTACAAAGAGTAGTGCATTCTGAGTATGGTGCATTCTGTCTTTCCTGTGAAACTTTTCTTGACTGAAAGTATTTTTTAGTCCATCAATTATGAATCGTTAAATGTAATATCATAACTGTCGTTGATTGAAACTCTAATACATTTGTACTAATTAGTTGACAATGGCTGTAATTCTGACACCTGATTGGCTTAAATTTCAGAAGTGTGACACAACTACATGTAGTTAATATTCTTGCTTTCTCACAGGATGAAATTCTGACACCTGATTAGCTAACCTAAAGTGAAGTGTGACGCCATTGGCTAATATTCTTGCTGTTCCAGAGGATGAAATTCTAATGCCTGATTGGCTAACCTAATGAGACACCTGATTGGCTAACCTAATGAGACACCTGATTGGCTAACCTAATGAGAAGTGTGATGCCATTGGTTATTTTCTGTTGTACCACAGGATGAGGTTGTTTCAGCCCATAGCCTGACCTTTAACCCAGAGGGGAGCAAGTTGTACTGTGGGTTCAACAAAACAGTTCGTATCTTTGAGACCAACAGACCTGGCAGAGAGTGTGAGACAAGGAAAACACATGGTACAGGTTTTGATATTTCACCTTATTTGTTGAAATAATAAAATTATTTTCCTTTTTGTGACATAAATATCATTAAGTCAACTGCTTGGCTGAGAGTACAAATTGTCCTCATAAATTTAAAGAGCTTTTATCACAAACTTTGGACTGTGAAAGCACACTATTTTTTGACTTGTGAGCTTAAATTAGTAAACTGTAAAATTGCCACTATCAGACGGGTATAACAATAAGAATGTGCTTTTCTTCTCTATGTAGTAAATAAGACTGGGCAAGGTGGAATTATCTCATGTATTGATGTCAGCCCAGAAAACTCAGACATCTACGCTTGTGGATCCTACTCCAAGTCAGGTCAGTCTGCAGTATCTTTTCAAGATTATTACATTTGTGAGTTCCTCACTAGCTAGTGGAGAGTCACTCTTTTAAGTCATCCTCACTGTAGTCGACTAAAGCTTTGGCTATGGTTTTTGTTGGGTGATATAATATAAGTTTGTCATAAGCTTGTTTCAATTTGTTTTTCATCCTTATTAGTTGAAACGTCTTTTCTTGTTCATGATTTACAGTTGGGGTGTACACAGAGCCAAAAGGCAAGCTGCTGTTTCTACTACAGGGTCAACAAGGTGGGGTGACCCAGGTCATGTTCTCTCCTGATGGACACAGGCTGTATAGTGGAGGCAGGAAGGTAGGTTAGGGTTCAGAGGTTACAGATCAAAGGTGAACAGTTATGTAATGACCCAGGTGATGTTCTCTCCTGATGGACATAGGCTGTATAGTGGAGGCAGGAAGGTAGGTTAGGGTTCAGAGGTTACAGATCAAAGGTGAACAGTTATGTAATGACCCAGGTGATGTTCTCTCCTGATGGACATAGGCTGTATAGTAGAGGCAGGAAGGTAGGTTAGGGGTCAGAGGTTATAGATCAAAGGTGAACAGTTATGTAATGACCCAGGTCATGCTCTCTCCTGATGGACACAGGCTGTATAGTGGAGGCAGGAAGGTAGGTTAGGGTTCAGAGGTTACAGATCAAAGGTGAACAGTTATGTAATGACCCAGGTCATGTTCTCTCCTGATGGACATAGGTTGTATAGTGGAGGCAGGAAGGTAGGTCAGGGGTCAGAGGTTATAGATTAAAGGTGAACAGTTATGTTATGACCCAGGTCATGCTCTCTCCTGATGGGTACAGGCTGTATAGTGGAGGCAGGTCAGGGGTCAGAGGTTACAGATCAAAGGTGAACAGTTATGTAATGACCTAATGGTTATTACACTGTAAGTGGACGCAGGAACGTAGGTCAGGGGTCAAGGCTAAGAGGTCATAGACCAAAGGTGAACAGTTGGGAAATGTCACAGGTCATGTTTTCTTCATGGTAATATTCTGTAGTTTTTTTAAAATGATGTCAGGCCTTTTTTTACTATTATCTAACCTTTTGACACATTCCCAGGACCCAGAGATTCTGTGCTGGGACATGAGGAACCCAGGAACAGTTCTGTTCAGTCTGAAGAGAGACGTGGTCACTAACCAGAGGATGTACTTCCACATGAGCAGGTGACTAATTAATGTTACTTACAAGCAATTATCTAAGGTTTATTAGATCAGAAAAATGCAGATTATTATTAAATAATAGTTGATGTAATTACAAATGTCAAATTACAAATCAAAGCAATTCTACAAGAAGATTGGAAGGAATTACCCCTTAAAAATTTCTTATTGTGTAATATTTATGATACATGAAAGAACCTGTATCTGTACTGTACCTGCACTACATATATTGTAACATTTATTTTTGTATTGTAAATTAAAAGAAGCAAAAAACTTTTGGGAAGAGTTCTGTTACTGGTGGAAACGATGTACCAAACAAGACCTAATTGTAGACGAGAAGATGATTATTTACGGTATAATTGACAACCCTCGCCATGTTAGTGCACTTGCACATTGTCTTCTTACCACTAAATATTGTATATACACATGTTTCATAACAAACTGCAAACCAAAACTCTCAATTTTCAAGCACAGACTAAACCAAATTATAGAAATAGAACATAATGAACAATGGGAACATTTTATGTGATATCATTATATATAGACAACCCCCAGATAACGTTACCTTTTAAAAAAACTGTCCTTGATTCTTATGTATCATCCCACACGATTGTACATGTACATGTATGTCAACTATGCATCTCTTTTTAATGTAACATTGTGAATATTGATAAAGTTTGAAAATTAAAAAAAATTATTTTAAAAACATAAATTGTCATATGCTGTAAAATGTTACAGGACTGAGTAGTACTTTTTGAGTGGAGGCCAGGGTAGTGTGGGTTCTGTATGGTATATCTACATGTACAGTATGTCACACAATATATTTAGTAGTAGTACCTGTGCTGTATCTGTACTGTGCCTGGATTACCTTACACGTGCTATTAAATGTTACAGTACTGGTCGGTACCTAGTGAGTGGAGGCCAGGCTGGAGTGATAAGTGTATGGGACACAGCCATGACACCAGCCCCTGAGGACAGCTCTAACCCTGAACCTGTGCTACAGCCAGTGCTGACCTGGAGGGGGCACAACGATGCTGTTAATGGAGTCAGGTCAGGGCTGACTCAGTCTTTCACTGGTATCATTTTTGTAGCGACTAGATGCATTTGATGCTTTATAAACACATTACAATACATAATCTAGCCTCAACGGGTGCAATGAACAAGTGAGCAGGGTTTGCATTTGGTGGTTTCGTAGTTCAAACCCTGGCTGAGTCATACCCAAGACTTTAAATTGGTACACAATGTACATGCTCCTTTCTCTGCTTAGCACTAAGTTTTTTCCAAATGTTTATAGAAAATAATGATATTTTAACAGATAATTATGACATGGTTGTGGCAAGCCCCTTATGCAATGATTACCTGTAGTGCATTCAAGAAAATATACTCAGCATTTATAAAAGAATATGGTATTGGTAGTTGAACACACACACCACTACTAGTGGACTAGCCCCTTGCTGTAGTGATTGCATAAATTTGTGTTGCTCAGGGGCTGTTGTAGAAAAGACTGTGCCTTGGGATCACTCACGGCCTGGCTGTTCCTTAATTTCCTGCCAATTGCAATGGTGAAGTACTAGTAAGCTTTTCTATTTGCCCCTCCCCCCCAGCCTGCATCCATTTTCCACCCTGTTGGTGACAGCATCAGGACAGCGCAAGTTCCATGTTCCCATGGACAGCAGTGACAGCGACACAGATGAGAGTGACGAGGAGCTGATGAGTGACAGACACGTAACCAGGGACAACAGTCTCCGGGTGTGGTCACTGTCAGCGTAACCAGGGACAACAGTCTCCGGGTGTGGTCACTATCAGCGTAGCAACAGAGAACGACTATTTCTGTGTTGTGATGCTATACATGTATATGCTTAGGTTATCTCTAGTGATCATTTGTATGACAATTTTATGCAAAGTTCTCTTTTCTAGACAGAAAGTCAACCTTTTAAAAAGATTAGTAAAAGAAAGACTTTTTTTCTTTGTAGCACTTTTCCTTTTCCTACTTTATTGTTCACATTATATTGTACTTGTACTTGACCACCAGACTGTGTATATGTTGTGTCCTTGTAAACATTTCAGACATACAACATATACATACATTAGACTTAGAGTATACAAGTCATGTAGATAAGCATTGTGTTGTCATTTGTGATATCTATGATAGAGTTGCCATTGATGTTACTGGTACATTTTGTTTTTTACAATTTTTTATGACATAAAAATTAATGACACATTCCAAAAACTGTGTGCATAAAAGACTGACACACACACAACACTCTGTCCTTGTATACTTGACTAAATAGCATAAGGAAAACGTACATCTTTGCAGAATGCATACATATATGCATTGTTTTGATGCCCCACTGTGATGTGAGTTCAATTCCAGGAACCCAGTGGCTCTACATCAAACCTCAGTTACATAAAAGAATCTGCTCAGGTCATTGTGCTTTGCCAGCGAAAAATAAAAGCATTATGCTTACCTTCAATAGACACTGATTTCTTTACTATGACAAAAGGTATCATTAAATATGTGCGTGTCTTACGTCGAAATACAGAAATGGGAAATCTATCGGGGCATAAAAACGTAATATCAAAACAGCATCCCTATAAACTGATGAAGTGGCACTAACCCACACAGACTCTGTTGTTTTCGTGTCCAGCCATGCGTTGAAAACAGATTGCTGTTGAGTTTAATGGACCATTGGCCTATACACACCTCATTTTATGGGTGACATGTTTTGGAGGCTGCATCTCCTATGCGAGAGAGAGTGATAGGCCTGCAACAACATAAAACAGCGCTACACTCAGGCCATGCTCTACTGAAAGTGAGAAATTGTATGATCTATCTGTGAATATCTTATGATAACGTCATATAGTATGAACCATCAAAATCAGGGAACTACAAACATAGATATGCAAATCTACAACTTGAATTTCAAGACAGTCTTTTCTTAATATAATTTTCTTTTTGATCAGAAATGATATGATATGTTAACCTGCTTTTGTGCAATAACCCTATTTGGCATTGGCTTGTATAGCCGTAATATGCATGGCGCTCTCGCAATACAGTAACAGCGCTATTTGACCATTGAAAAACTCATTCCGAATGAGTAGATCCATCAGCAATATGCGTGTTACACAGTATCTTACATGCATATGAAAAAAAAACAAAGATATTTTTGGTGGCCAGACGTATCGAAAGAAAGGTGTAGTCTGTACAGTAAAATTTACTTGAAAGGTGAAATATATCCTAGTCCAAGGTCCTTTGAAGATGGATTTGAAAGTGTCTTGAGGTGCCCTCAGATGATTGATTAAGTTTTTCATAGTGAATTTCTCCAAGGCTTTCGATTCTATTTCTCGCAAGGCACTGGGAATATAACCAGCCGTTGATATATGTATATGACGTCATAGACGCAGTCAATTGATTCATTCCTCGACAAAGACTCGCGCCGCACTGTTCAAAATTGGGTCCATCCGTTGGTAAAATTACAGTAAAAATCCGTCATTTTAAAGGCTTAAAAGACGTTTACGGCTACAGATGAACGTCCATGCATATATCGCGTTTTACTTACGTAACGTACAAGTATAGGGCTGGAAGCAGTAGGGGATGGTCCAGGAATTATTTTGGGGGTGGGTGGACACACAGGAAAACATTATTGTTTTTGATCTCTTTCTTCTTCTTCAAATACATAAGGTCAGTGACCTGAGTCATACGTCTGTGATCACTGTGCCGTGGAAGACACCGTGAGGTGTTGTGTTGCATTATGTAGCAAGTGGCAGGGCAGGAGTTGGAGGGGCTGGTCACCATATACATGTATTTGAATGTGTTTGAGTTAGAATTAACAGAGCAGTTTGTTGTACTAGACCATTCCAATGTGGAGGTGAACATTATGCATTCACTTTGCAATTGTTGCCTTTCTAGTCTTTCGTTGCTTTGTTTTCTTCTCCAGTGGGGCAATGTTGTTTTGCAAGTGATCTTTGTAAAAATAATTTTCTTGTCCTTTGATAATTCTTCCTCCAAAGGTGACTACATCTATAAATGGCAATAATTTCGTACTTTATTGTACATTACACTAGCATTACTATATAATTATACATATATATAATATTATATCATATAATCTGGCCCTTTCTAATATTAATATCGAACATATCCTATGCTGCCATTTGAGCGGTCGTTACCGGTTACTGGTGTTAACCAATCATCACAGGTTTTTATAATCGTGTTTATCACGTTAATTTGCTTCCTCAACAGGCGATCTTTTAACTATCAAATGCAGAATTAAAGAGCTATAGAAGTATTTTCCTAATAACAGTTATCTCTCTTGCTATTCTCCATTAATTAGTGTCGCCCTGACGGCCCATGAAATATTGGAGCTTCTGGGTTGTTGCTCGCCAAATCAGGGCTCGAAATACTGGGTGCATGTGCACCTTAGTGCACCCAAATTTGGAGCTGTGCACCCAATCTTTTCTGTGGGTGCACCAGTGCACCCAAATATTTTCATAGTTTTAATGTATGTAAAGATATTAAATTTATAGTAGTTACAGCATATTCTTAACATCTAAGTGTCAGAAAAAATAATACAATGATTGTTCTTTCCTTGAAATGAAACATAATGATAGTTTTTGTAGACATTCTACTTATTTTATCTTATATGGTGCACCTAAAATATTTTTGTGCACCCAATTTTTTAGGTTGGGTGCACCAGTGCACCTATTCCCAAAAAAATGAATTTCGAGCCCTGACAAAGGTTAATCCCTGCTTTATCCGTCTACAAACCCGCTTAACTCCACACTAACGCCCCCAAGCTTTTGAAACGTTTTTACGAAGACGAATCCCTGCTCTGTGCACTCGGCGTCGTCCTGACACGTGAGGCTAATGCGCCTGAGCCGAGGGTTCCAAATTGTTCGAACTAATTTCCGTGTAGGTGTGTGATCAAGACAAAAAAGCTAAGTAGTTAATGGTGGGACTAAGCTTGAAAGTATAGATCTTTGGAAACAATTAGAATAAGATGAAGGTAAGGGTAGAAACCAAAAGGTGAACATAATGGAAAATCTTACGTTTTAGAGAACGGGCCATATAAATGTGAAGGACGCGGTACAACACTTTTGACATTTTTCATGAATTGGGTGATTGAAGGTAAAATTGGTACTTGTAATATTTACAAGAAAGGGCAGTTGAATGTGAAGGTAATGTCTAACAGAAGGGGGCATAACGCTAAGTATAGAGAAAGGAGACGAAAATGATCAAAAGGCGTTATTGGCAGTAACATCCATGATCATCCATGGAAGCTAGCCTCCATAGCATGCCAAAAACTGGTCATTTGGGGGGTCTTCGGGAGATTTTATGTGCTATTTTCTGATTGCATATAGACAACATAGCCGGTCTGATTGAATTACTCCCGTTTTTTGGGCTGATCATATATTAAACAGCCAAAGACCACCAAACTCCCAGTTCTATAAGACAGTGCTACGGAGGCTACATGAAAGCACAGCACAGAGGCCCAGCAATATCATAGTCCCCACCATGATATATCCCGATCGGTCCCTTACTAGGTTATACACCTATGCCCTAGACTGGCTAGATGTCATACATGTCAATGCTTGCCTTGTTTGCAGTTTTCTCTTTGTACTCTGTGGTCTAATCCCCATTAAAACGAAAGGATGGCACTGGGACTATATAATAATCAATATGCACTAGAGCGCTATTATGCCTCCGTCGGTGATATGTCTTGGTCGGTCCCTTATTACGTCTTATACTTTCACCCCAGACTACCTAGATGCCGTACAAGTCAATTTTCCCTTATTTGCAGTGATCTCTCTGCACTGTGACCTAATCCTCATTAAAAACGTGATCTGCAATGGGTTGTTACAGGATGGTACTTGGCTATTGTGCCTCGGTCGCTGATATGTCTTGGTCGCTCCCTTACATTTAAACCTTCGCCCTAGACTAGATGACACTGTGACAAGTCAATGTTTTCCCTGCTTCTAGTGATCTCTTTGTACCCAGTGACAAAATCCTCATGTGATCTGTATTAGGATGGTACAGGATGGTACAGGATGGCACCATTATACCTTGGTCGCTGATGTCTTGGCCGGTCCCCTTATTACGTCTTATACCTTCGCCCAGACTACCTAAATGCCGTACAAGTCAATTTTCCCTTATTTGCAGTGATCTTTCTGTACCCTGTGACCTAATCCTCGTTAAAAACGTGATCTGCAATGGGTTGTTACAGGATGGTACTTGGTTATTATGCCTCGGTCGCTGATGATATCTCCCGGTCAGTCCCTTACTCTTTCTTAGTCCTTATACCTTTGCCCACATACAATTATTACAATTCAATGTTTTCCCTTCTTTGTACCCGGTAACGAAACACCCTTAAACGTTATCTGTAATGGGTTGTTACAGGAAGGTACTTGCAATGGCTATTATGCCTCGGTCACAGATAAGTCCTGGTCGGTCCCTTATTACTTATTTTACCTGCGCCCCAGACTAGATGTCCATGTCCATGTTTGAACATTGTTTCCCCTGCTTGCAGTGATCTCTTTGTACCCAATGACAAAATCCCCATTAAGAAGTGAGCTGCAATGGGTTGTTACTCGATGGTACTTGGCTATTACTACTAGCATAAGTGTGCCTCGATCGCTGATATGTCTTGGTCGGTCCCTTACTATCCTATAACCTCCTTGTTACGTCTTAAACCTTCGCCCCAGACTAGATGACATACAAGTCAATAATGTTTTCTCTTCTTGCACTGATCTCTTTGTACCCAGTGACAAAATCCCCTTAAACGTTATCTGTAATATTATGCCTCGGTCACTGATAAGTCCTGGTCGGCCCCTTATTACATCTTTTACCTGTCCGTGTCCATGTTTGAACATTGTTTCCCTGCTTGCAGTGATCTCTTTGTACCCAGTGACAAAATCCCCATTAAAACGTGAACTGTATTAGGATGTTACAGGATGGTACTTGGCTATCACTAGTGCCTCGATCGCTGATATGTCTTGGTCGGTTCCTTTAACCTCCTTGTTACGTCTTAAACCTTCGCCCCAGACTAGATGACATACAAGTCACTGTTTTCTCTAGCTTGCACTGATCTCTTTGTACCCAGTGACAAAATCCCCATTAAAAACGTGAACTGTTACAGTAGTAGGTTGTTACATGATGGTACTCAGCTATTATGCCTCGGTCGCTGATATGTCCTGGTCTGTCCCTTATCAGTGACGTCTTATACCTTCGCCCAGACTACCTAGATGCCGTACAAGTCAATTT